TCCAAACTTCATCATGCACTTATCATATAAAATAGTATACGCAACACGTGCGGATAGCAGGAGGTATCACTCGGGCGGCTGCGCCGCCCTCGTGAGTAACCGCCTGCTTTCCGCACTAGTTGCGTAGTGCACTATTATTGGATGTTATTCTAGTTATTGAAATAATATTAAAATGCGTCTTAAGTTGGTAAACCTGTCGAGTGTTTTCTCTCTCTCAGTTCCATGGTCCAACCCATAGCTTTCCCATGATGCTCACTGACATTCGAATCACGCCTGCGCGTGAGGGTGTAATTACCCCGAACCTCACAATTTTCCGAATCATTTGTTCAAATAACTTTTTTATGATCCACTAGTTTTTCCTCAATAGTTCATTGTTTTTTTGGAGGCCATGGAAATTTCCCTAATTGAGAGTGGGGTAACCTCGGAGGTTATAGCTGGAGGGGTTACACAAACATCCAAATTCCATTATTTTTTTTCTTGAAACTGAGGTCTGAAAAAATGTGCAAAAATTCTCAATGATGCAGGGATTCATATTGAGAATAATCCCGGTTCCCCTCCTACCTCATCCAATTTCCATCCACTCATTTTCTTATGACGTCACAAAAATGTGGATCGCTATATAAATTCCCTTCTTTAATGTAAAAATGAATGCCGTAAGAAGAACGGCGGAGCTCAATATGGATCAGAAATTTGAAATGGAGAAATGGCTAGGAGCAGCTCAGTTGGGAGAGCACCCGATGCATAATCGAAAGGTCCCGGGTTCAAATCCCGTTCTGGACTAATCATTTTTTCAGTAAAAATTTTATGGTTATTCATATTGAGAATAATCCCGGTTCCCCTCCTACCTCATCCAAATCCCATCCACTCATTTTCCTATGACGTCACAAAGAGGTGGAACGCTATATAAATTCCCTTCTTTAATGTAAAAATACTTACAAACATACTTGGAAATTTCTCCCAAGAATTTTTCAATTTTTTTTCGTAATTTTGACTTCAACCGAAACACCTTAACTATTAACGAATATTCATTTGGTCATATTCAACTCTACCATTTGTTAATAGTTAACGAATCTCGTTCGGAATAAATGAATCAGTCTATCAGTGTGTTCAGGTGAAATGAAACAACACATTTGAACAAATAGTACAATTTATTTGCGTTTTGAAGTTATCCTCACAGGACTAATAATCTACCAACAGTAACGCTCACATCTCTCACATGGAAATTTCTTTAACAGATCTTTGCACTCGTATATCATATTAATGTCGAATCAGCGTGGCCTAAAACATAGGTGGAAGAGTTTTTGAGTGCCGCGTTGGATCAGTCGTGCGGACCTACGTAATTTATTTCATCAGCTCCTTAAAGAATTGAACTATTAATTAATCATTGATAATATGCAATGTCGACTTGAGGATTTTATAGTCAATCTATGGCAAACATAACGAGTGTATATGAAGAATCATCAGTTAGTGAAAGAAATAATCAAGTATAAACATCGGTAAGTCTACGTGGACGTTTGGTGTTGACGGAATTTCAAGGTCAATATAGGCCGGTTTGAGTAGGCCGATTTTCTCCGTTTATCAGGGAAATAATATATCGGTAATAGGGAACTTGCATAGAGTCCGGTTTTCGAATATTTTCAAATGAATAGAGTCTTTATAGTATATAAACCATTCTAGAGTGAAAAGTTTTCCGAAAAGTGGTCTGGATATTTTGTAATAACTGATTAAAAATGCATCAATTTTGAACACTTTTTTGGGGTGATGACGTCAATTCACCGGAATCAAGTTCCCCTTGCGACCACTGGTAGCGCTATTGAGTTATTCTAGCCTCTCAAGGCACGGGACATTCAACCAAAACAAATCGAGGGGGTTATGTTTGAAACAATCATTGAAAGTAGATAAACAAATATATTGGCGGTAAGAAATGAAGTTTGTGCTGGAAAATGATTTTCAAAAGGCGTGCTCGGGGAATTTACCAACGGTAGACGTTACTATGCTGATAGATTTTATGGGTTTAAATCTGTGTCAAAGTGTCGAAAGTCGAGGTTGTATAATTTTCACTATTGTATTTTTACATCCTGGTACAAAACAATATTTATAAGGAACTTCTGACATTTTCTAGCCAAATACATGTACCGAGCATTTTTTCCTAGATTCCAGCAGTTGTACTAAACCGCTTGCTGGCGCCACACGAAAATTTCGGCCACCGGTGAGTTGACGTCACAGGCCTTTTTCGAACGTTAAAAAAATGCAATTTTTCAAAGCAAATAAATAATTATTAAACGATTTTCCGTGTATTTCCTTATCAAATATGGGTTCTTGGGGGTATTTGAGGGGGAAAAAATAATACGTGCAAGTTCCCTATTACAGGAACCCTAATGGATCACTCGATATGAGGGTCGAGCTGAGCACTCAGTCAAGTGCTAGTCGATGGCTGTTCGATTGGTTGATTATCGATCAAATAACGATCGACCAATGATCGACTAGCAATCGACCAACAATTGACCATCGACCGTTAATCGACTAATCATCGACTAACAATCGACCACCAATCAACCAATGATCGACCATCAATCGACTAACCATCTATCCAGTGATCAACGAACGATCGACCGACCATCGACCGAGTGCACTAGTCGATCTCCTATCGAGTCCCCATCGAGTAGCCATCGATCGATCTACCAGGGAATCACGCGCAGTGTAAGAAATTCATGAGGAAAATCTATCTAAGAAATTTTCTAATTGCATTCATGGCTCCGTACGAATTCTAATTGGCAAATTGGCCTATCCCTAATGTCTACAAATCTCAAAAGATTTCAATAACAAATGAAGAGCGGCATTATGTCGAATATTATCAGAAGTAATCTCAGTATTGTTTAATAACGATAACAGCCCTGAAGTGTATAATTGAAAGACTCCATCCAGCTGATTATCATCCCTGGACATTAATTGAATTAGGTTGAATTATCCGAACATTCGGAATAATATCTGACATCATCATTCCCTATCGCTCCATCGACTTCCTAATTTGGACGCTATAACGTAGGGGGATTGTGCTCCGCACTCAACAGTATACCAATTTTTGATTTTCATTGTTTCACTTTCCCTCGGAGGAACTCGCCCTCCTTCGGCTCCTCAGCTTCCAGAATCTCCTGTCCCTCGAGGTGTGATGAATTGAAATTGTGTTCTGGCCTTTTCCACGGTCTGCCATGTAGATTTTCAAGAACTTGGAGGCGCGTTCCTCCTGGGACTTGTCTGTTGACTTACCACTGAGGAAGCTGAGAAGTTTCATGCTTCTCCTTCTTATTCTCAGACGGTTGAGGAAATTTGTCTCCTGCGGTCTAGCGCTGACAGGCTCATCTGCGTCTTCCTCAGACCCCTCATCGATTCTCTCTGATCTCGATCGAAGTGCTTCGAAGTGTCTTCTCCTCTCGTGCTCAAGATCCATTTTTCTTAATCTTCTTCTCTCTAGGAGTCGGTACGTAGGCTCAGCCTCGTCACTCGAGCTCCCGCTGAAGGACGTTTTCATCGAGGGAAAGATGATCTTTCCACCCTCGAGAAGACTCACTCGTTTCTCGGTCTTCTTGTCTGGCGGGGCAGCTTGGACGGAATCCTCGTCGACGTCCGAGAGTTTTCGGTGTAGATCGAGGATCTTCTTGCGGAAGTCTTCGTCCTCCTGGCTCAGTTGCTCGAAGATCTTCGTGCGTTGTTGGCTCTCGTCGACGTCAGACGTCGCCTGCAACCTCTGTCACCACCATCCCACCTGGAGTTTTCCACTACCCGGTGAGTCCTCCTCCTCTGGAAGGGGCTCCAGTCGTCTTCGGCCCAGGAAACAGCGGAGTGATGATAGACTACCACTGCCAAGTAGCTGCTCCATACTGATCTCTGGAAGACTGCTGTCCTCGGAGTCACCACTCTCGTCGGGATCGTCGTCTGCGTTGAGACTGAGGCCATAGTTGTCCTCGCCGATGACGTTGCCGTTGATGGACGGCTACGGAAGTCACAGGTTCAACAGGCTCGTTGCTAATGATTCTTCGCAAACAGAGGGCAAGCGATTTTGCGTCATGCAGAGGCGTGCCAAGCTTAATCTACACTAGTTCATGGTTATTTTGGTGATCTTTGGTGTTGGAAGGTACAGTCTAGACTGGTGTGCCCTGAATAGTGGTACTTGCATGATTGTTATAGGGAAAATGATCACGCAGAAAAATAATTTCGTTGGGATGGCGCGCCGCACGTTAACCCAGCAAATTTCGTAGGTTAATATACGGACAACTGAGATATACGTTACCGCAGCGGATATCAGTAAAAATGCGAAAAAATTAATTTTCAATTTCTTTTTCTTCATTTTCACGGTCAATTATCCCTATAGAAGCAACTCAGAATGCATTCATCACCGACAAAGCCAATTTCATTAACGCAAATTATGTCCATTTGCCGAGACCGGGGATCGAACTCAGGTCCTTACGATTACTAACCCTAACGCGCTAACCACTATGCTACCGCGCAATACTTACCCCTCGTAAATATCATATCAAGGATGTTATTCCGTTTCGTGAAACTATTTTTTATTAGATTTAGAGAAAATTGTATTATTCCTTTACTTTTTTATGGATGAAGATATTTAATATAATCAGTATAATAATTCAATGGAAAAACATGACAATAGTTTTGACAAAATGAACTGCACGACTTTTATGAGTATCGTTTTAGCGGTTATTTGACTTGAAATTATTGTTTCAATTATATTTTAGATCTTCCTTGAAATAGGGGAGGATGGGGCAAAACGGCCCCCCTTCAATCGTCAATATTTTCCGATTCAATAATCCGATTGGGATGAGTTAGAGCTCGTTTTGAAGAATGAAAAATTATCTTCAAAATGAAGTTGAAACTGGGAATTTTCACAATGTCATTCACAAGTTAGTGACAATTGAATGGGGGCCGTTTTGCCCCACCCTCCCCTAGTACGAGAGCTAAGCACAATTGTTAAAGGAACAAGGGATAGAGTAAGACACTGTAAATGAAAATGGGATGGTTATTGAAGGGTCAATAATAGGGTTCAACAATAATTTGATAAACTAACTCATCTTCGTGAGGTTATGAGGCGAAATTTTCCGTTTCAATTAATTAGAAGATAGGATGCTTCATTTTTGAATTTATGAAATAAATGTTTAAATTCAAATAACAAATGTTTGGTTGTAACAGTAGATCAAAGATCAACCAATCCAGTAATATTATACCAACGAAACGACTTTGGTGGTTTTAACGTAAGATTCGCTTTCAATGGGGGTTGGCCCGACGAATGGTCAGTGGCTCGCATAGTGGACGCTCAGGTCCCAGTTACAAATTTTCAGTTATCTCAGCAAATCAGATCCCAGCGAAAGAGTATTTGCTTGGCTAACGAAATTAGTTTTCTGCGTGATTACAGAGCATGTGATGCTCTTCAGGATGTGATGGTAATCGCAATTGAACGATTGATTCCCATCAACTTTGTTCATGAATCGTTATGAATTCTAATTGAGGCTCTCGTGATATCATGAGACAGCAGGAAGCTAGAATGTGCTGAGCATGATTGTTCCAAATGTCGAACAAAAACTTGAAGGATGCAAGTTCCTCATTCAATGTAAAAAATTGCACTATTGCTGAAGGATTTTCTGTACCTTCAAACATTAAAGAAGATCTCCTGATGATACTTACTGGACTAGCAGTGAAGCTCTCGTCGTCGGGTCCTCCGGAGGTCGGCGTACCCCAGATGTCATCACCAGAGGTGCCTCCAGACGTCGTGCCCTCTTCATCATTAGGGTCTAACGAGAACTCTGTCCTTTCTGGGGGGACGGGGGGCTGCAGGAGGTACCCCCCAACCCCCTCACCCAATTGCTCAAGGAAGACCATCTTACTGACGACGAAACTACTGGCCCGAGCTGTCCACGATCGTAGGCCAGATGGTGGTGACTCCTGGTCTCGGCTGTCGTCCTCTGTCTGCTCGTCTACGTCGTCGTCCTGGTCTAGACTACTCATCGTTCCGAATCGTCTCAGGGCTCTACGAATTACCAAAGTTGAATTAGCGGTCAGTTAGACGGGTCAGGGTCGTGGATTGATGATTGGAGGACCTGTACGGTGGCTCTCCATCGCAGTCAAGGTCATCCTCACTGCCGTCCTCGGTATTACCATCAGCTGGAGTGCAGTTTGCACTATTTCTACTTGGACTATCGTGAATGCTATTCCTCAGTCTGTGTGTTGTGCAGAGGTCTGGGGTTGGAGGCAGCACTGAGATTTTTGGTGGAATCGGGGAGAAGGGATCCCGTACGAGTGGCGGAGTTGGACATCCGGATCTGGAGACAAGTAAAAACGATCTTTGCAAAGCTAGAAGGTACAAGGTCCCATAAATCAGAAGCTTGAATTCAATTGTCGACAAAGGAGATTCTACTCTAGCCACAACACGAAAGACTCCACCTGTGGCACCTTCGGCAGATGTTGATGGATCCACCCGGTAGCTCCTTGCTGAATATATTGCCATTCTTCTTTGGATTGACACTACTTGATTTGACGGTGCTCAGGCTTGCACTCGATGTCGTACTCTGCTGTTCAGGATCCGAATTCGGCGCTGTATGCTCTTCTGTATTCTCGTGAACCTGGACATTCGTCGAGGATTCACGGGGTGCCCGGGCCGCCAACTCCTCGGCTGTCCACTCCTCAAGGGCCACTTCGTGGTCTGGTGGTGGTGCGTGATGAGAATTTCTAACCCACTGAGCTAAATGATTGTTCTCGTGATTCGAAGGACTGGATTTCAGGATGCTCTCTAGTGTGTCACCAGGTTCGTGCAACTTTTTGGATATACTAATCTGGATTGACAAGAGAGACATGAATATTAAGATACATCGATCGAACCATTATTGTCTGTAAATGAACGCAAAAAATCGATTCTGATTTTTGATTTCTTTAAGAAAGGCGGGAAAAGTTGATTGTGGGAATTACTAATCAAAATGGGCCCAAAAATTATGAAGAAATATTATATGATAATGGTTCCCATCCCGACAACCCATACAAAAAATTTGAAAACGGTTTTCATAAGAAAATTGTCGTTAGATAACTTTGAAATCACGAGGTGGTGGAGTCAAAGTTTGCCATATTATTCAGTAATTTCTGCGCATGCGCAATTGTCTTGTTTGACAACGAATAAATTTTGGTTGTCGAAATTGCTTGTCAGAATGGACTGCAAAATTACACAGAAGTATTTTATACCAATGGTTCCCACCCCTAGAACCCACATAAAAAAGATAACAATAATTTTAGTGACGAAAATAGTGTCCAGAAGTCTTCGAAAACCCGAAGTAATGGAGTCAGGATTCGGTCCTGCGTATGCGCAGTCGTCTTGTTTGCAATTGTTTTCCCCGCGATAACCCACAGAAACGATAATAAACAAAAAAATCGTTTTAATGTCCGCATTTATTTACCTGAGGACTTGATGAGGAATCACCAACTGTAGCGTAGTCGTTCCTCGTGAAAGGTCCCTCCTCCGGGCTGTCTAGGTTCGGCGCACCCCCACAGCCTGTATTCACATAGATTCTAAAATGGGAAGAGCCAGAGGGAAAAATTGAAACAAAAACACAGGCAGGGGTTACAATTGGGAATGACAAATAAAATGACATCTCCACTGTGAGCACTCACATCTGCCGTTGCAGCAGATTATGCCAGACTGCCTTCTGCTCCGGACTCGGGGCTCGAAGAATGAGGACTCGCCTCCTGGCACGTCCATGGGGACTGCACCCACCAGATTGCACCACCTCCACATGACCATTCTCCCTCCCCCCATTCGGAGTTATCGCTACCTGAAGTCGGAACTCTGTCGGCCGTTTTCTGACAGTGAAGCACGCCTCGGCGATGCTAGAGAGACGGAGGGGCTCCTCCGTAACGAAGAGAACTCGATCCCTGGAGACCCTCGCGAAGACTAAGAGATCCGTTAGAAGAAGCGCCCACGAGGGCTGGAGACGACGACCCTCGACCTTGGCCAGAGCTCCACCAAAAAGCCTTCATAGAAATGAAGACCCAAACTTTACGTGACCATGTAAACAGCTGTTCAGAAGTTTTCTGAAGTACGGTTACTACCATAAACTTCTAGAACTACTTCCTCTCAAGAAAAGTCTAAAGTTGTCTAGACTAAAGAAGCTGAACTACTGACTAAAGCTACACTGAATGCTACTTCTTGAATTAACCAGTAAGAATTAAAGTGTGAGTGATCGTTTGTTCTCAATTGCTCATCATCAAATTGACGTTATAAGGAACACCTTGGCGAAAGCTACCGCTTTACGAACTCTTTGAGTGCTAGTACTGAAGAGTCGACTTGTGAATTGAGTTCCTAAAATGGTATCTTAACATAGAGGTGTTAGAGAAAAGCCATCTTCTTCCGTAAAGAGGAACAAACCATTGTCTGCCGGGCTGTGCAAGTGTAAAAGGTCGGCACTTGGCGAAAACGAGTCTGGACTCGACTTCTTGGAGACTTAAGAGAGGTCTCCCCGTGTCCCTCGGTGGTTCCATCACCCCAGCATTGGCAGTGGCCTCTCGATAACCCTGAGCAAGATCCCTAGTCTTCTGGCAGTTCCGCGGTGATGCGAGACACAGTAGCCTCGTCATTTCTCTGGAATTCAACTAATCAGTCCTGACTCGATGATTGTTGATGACTCTTCCTCACCTGTAGTGCTCAAGGGGTAGCAGCAGGACACCAGTGAGGTCTGGACGACGTTTGTGGGGGACAGCTGGCTCGGCCACTAGCTTCGCGAAGGCTGTGTTTCGACGAAGGGCCACCAGCAAACAGCAGGCTCTTTGGAGACCGCTCAAGTATCTTCGGTAGCTTGAGGTTATTCTGGGGATTCGCGATAGGTAGCTCTCGATTCGACCACCCTCGTCACGAATCTCCTCGGACAGTCGGAAGAGGTCCTCCAGGTTTTGGAAGAGGATTGTGTGGTCGGTTGGCGAGAGAACGTCTCGGCGTTCCGCCAGGGGAATTGAGAAACGAGAGACGCCGGTCTTTAGGACACTCCAGTAACGAGTCTCACGGACTGATAGCTCCTCCTCTGGTGAAGCGTCCGGCGACAGGTTGGGGAACATCTAGACGTAATTTTTGGTGTTGGGGTCAGAGCCATTTTGCTCTGTAGTTATTCTGGAGCGAACGGTTTTCCCTAGTTTCTAACTTTGATTTTACTTTTTGCCAAATGTTTTTTATTTGGGGTGGAGGGGGGATTTTCATGAGGTCCTCCTCGGGTCAGTTAATTATTAATGTGAAATGTTACGAGTCATAATAGTGTAGTCAAATTGGCATTGAGGTCCTTTTTTAATTCACCGTGGATGACAAAATACCCGTTCGATAAATAAAATTATCCTGAATAACATATCAAAATGATCACACATAGATCGGTGCAGAAAATATATAAAAAAATTAAAAAAGATCCAGGTTCTTGGGTGAACGCTAAGAATCCATGTAGCTTCAATTAAATTCAATCAATTATTGAAAAAAAAATACCAGCGTGTAGTGCGAATAAGTCTCTACAGAATTAAGTTAGAAACCAATAGTCCTCATTCACTAGTTTTGCCGTAATAAATTATTTAGTATTTTTAACCCCATATCTGGTAAAATGATCAGCTGATTCCGTAAGGCCCACCTCTTTCTGCGCGCGCACTTGTCTCAAAGTGGCGCAATGCGCAGTAGATTTAAACTGTACGAAAAATGTCACCGATGAGTGCGAACTTTACGAATATTTCCATCCTAAAGTTTAATAATACTAGTATTTAATTATTAAATCTAAGAAAGGGGAGATTTTGAAATAAAAAAATTGGAAAGAAAAGACTGGAAAGAAAGAAATACTCAAAAAGTAAAAAAGAAGAAAATTTGTTCTCAATCTACCCAATAGCAGTTACTGAAATTTCAACCAAGTATTGAAGGGAGGTTAATGAAGGGCTTAACGCGTCCCATTCACTGTTTATTGGCAATAATTTTTTTTTCTACAAATTTTTTTGCCAATAAATAGTCAATGGAACCCGTTAATCCCTTCAGTAACTTGCACTGAGAGAAAAAATCTGCTGTGCCGAAAATATATTTGTTCCACTCAAAAATATCAAGATTATTATTGATATTTTTCATGATATTTGAATCCTGGCATTCTACTTGAAAGAATATGTATTCATATGTAATTGCATCTACATTTCTGTGCTTCTCTGAATTTTCAAATAAATTAATTCGATTTGCGGACGAAAAATGGCAATATCGTCAGGCAATTGATTGAATAATCGAGTACATGTAGATTTGAATCTGCGCATACCGCTCTTTTCGTTGACGTGCGCACACTGAAAGGAGCGGAGCCTCGGGAAAGACGCTGGAAGTATCACGAAATTCGGGTTAACAAAATTTCCGACATTTTTTACGAAAACACAATTCATCTTAGAACATCGTTTCACATATCATTTTTGTGTGGACTTTTCACGTCTACAATTGGGTATTTTTTTTTTTCAATCCATTGAGTTTGGTCGAAACTACGAATGTTTTTGTCATTAACCCCAACAAAAATCGTTCGTTTTTATTTTTTTCAGATATTTTCTGCACCGATCTATGTTTGATCATTTTAATATGTTATTCAGGACATTTTCATTTATCGAACTGATATTTTTTCATCCCCGGTGAAATTATTTCCCAGTTAGGCAATTTTTGCGTCTAATTTGACTGGACTATAAGACGAAAGTAGATCATGGTAAGAAGCACACGTGAACAGCTGACACTCTTATTTTGTGCTATTCTCAGGCAAAAGGGGATCGAAAAATCTGCATGATGGCTTAAAAAATTTGTTCATTTCATAGAAATCGGATGAAGCGACTTGAGGATGATTTGAAAAGAATAGATAATTTTTAAAAATGTTTGAATATACGAGGTGGGCGCGCCGCGGTCTTTAGAACCAATGCGGCAGGGGGGTCAGTATGCTGTACAATTATCTCGTATTTTTGAACATTTTGAAAAATTATTCATCTCCTTCAACTCGTTTTATTGAGTTCCTAAAAATACGAACAAATTTTTCAAATTATCCTTTACTTTTTTCTTGTTTGAATCTCTGTACTGATTATTTTGGGTGCTCCATTCATTCAGAATCTGGGTAATAACTCTCAATATGGCTATCATATCCTCAAAAGGTCTCCCAGGGTTTTAACGACTGGAAACTCCTGGAATTTTCATGTTTTTCCTGCTACAGTGAACTTCTCCGAGTTTTAATGAAGTGAAGTTGAGTGAAAATTCAAGTGGTTTGAAATTCTGTAATGGAATGCTCCTTTCATCCTCAAAAACTTCACAAACTAGGTCGATAGATTTTTATTATCCTCGCTAATGCGAAAAGCTAATTATCCTTCTACTCGTTTTTGTCTACGAGGAACTTGAAAAGTCTGGACTAAAATTGCTGTCTCTGAACTAACTATTGTTTCAACTTTTTTCTAAACTAGACATAATCCATACACGAACCAGTACTCCAAGCACTTATTTCAAGATTGGATGGGATAAGGAGGTGAAAGGTTTAAAAATAAAATAACAGAATTATTTTTTATGGATTTTAAACAAAAGTTCTTGGCAACAAAAATAAGAACAAAGTACAAAAACATAATCTCACTCTCGCATCCGATGTTTCAAATTGTTTTCTCCAAACAAAAAAAAATTGCCTCAACGTTGCAAGTTTCATAATAAAGAGAAAAATCAATGAAAAAACACGGAATTGTGATTATAATTTTTAATTAATATTAAATTAATAATCGTAATAAGCTCTTTCCCACGTTACGTTGAGTCGCCCAGTTTTTAATACAAAAAAATACTCGCGTATACAATTGAAGGATTTGAATTCTCCCTTTTTTGAGCACTTGATCAATAACTTAAGACAAAACATATGTATAACACAGCGCAATTTCTCGGTGTTAATTACCCTCGATCGTTTATAATCTATATATTTTTTTTGTTATTATTTACATCTGGAGGTGACTGACGTATACAGAACGCATCGAGGGGACAATCAACATCGAGAATTTGATTTAAAGTATATAAAATAAATAATAAAAACTGACAAAGCGCTCTGAAGAATTAAAAAAATGAAATAGCAGGGGGTGACTTAAACATAGGTTTAACACAGCGTTTTCTCTCGCGTTTTAAACGCGATTTGTTTCTTTCGTTTTGAGAAAATTAAATAAAAATTAATAGTAATTGTCTCATCCGAAGAAATGAGGGCTTTGTCTCAATCTTTCATCCTTGTTGGCTTCAATTTTTTGTCTCATGAATTCTCAACTCAAACGGAATAGAAAAAAATTTGAAGGATGTCTTGAAAAATTTGTTCCGTTTTTAGGAATTGAACGGAATGAATTGAAGGTGATTTGAAGAGCATAAGTAATTTTACGAAGTGTTCATAAATACGAGGTGGTGAACAAGTGTGGGCGCCGCCATCTTGATTGGATGCTTGCTGCGTCCGCCGCAGGGGGCTTTCAAGATGGCGGTGCTCCCACCTCGGGTTTTTATTATTCCTTGAAATTATTTATCCTCTTCGAATCATCCTCCATTCTCTTCATCAGGTTTCTATAAAAGTGAACAATTTTTTAAAGCCATCTTTCAGATTTATCCATCAACTGGACAATGACTTGATAGGGAACTTGCATTTTTTTCCCCTCGATTATATGCCTCCAAGAACCCACATTTGATAAGGAAACACACGGAAAATAGTTTAATAATGACGTATTTGCTTTTAAAAATTGTATTTTTTAAACGTTTTAAAAAGGCCTGTGACGTCAACTCACCGGCTCACCGGTGGCCGAAATTTTTGAAAATCATTTTCCAGCACAAACTTCATTTGTTACCACCAATATATTTGTTTATCCACTTTTAATAATCGTTTCAAACATAACCCCCTCGATTTGTTTTGGTTGATCGTCCCGCACTTTAATAGGCTAGAATAACTCAATAGCGCTGCCAGTGGTCGCAAGGGGAACTTGATTCCGGTGAATTGACGTCATGACCCCAAAAAACTGTTCAATATTGGTGCATTTTTAATGAGTACAAAATATCCAGACCACTTTTCGGAAAATTTGTTGCTCCAGAATGGTTCATAGACTCCAAAGACTATTCATTTGAAAATTTTCGCAAGTTCCCTATTGCAGTGAACAGAATAGGAATTTTTCCTAGCTCCACAATGAGACAATTTTTTTCATCATTCACACACTCTTCTCCATTTTTTCAATTTCCCCATTTCTTCAAATGAAAATTTTTAATAAATAATTCAGGAATTGTGGACAAAGGTCATCAATTTCCAATTATTAAATGTTCCTAGTTCTATACTAAAACTCCCGTACCGACCTCGGCGGTGAATGTGACGTGATGGCCATTGGAGTGATCCATATTTTGTTGTAAACTGACGTTTGTGAAACTGGGCCTGTGGGCATTTGCGTGGCCCCCAGCGCGACGGTAAACCTCGAGGACGAGCTGGGTGGTGGCAGATTGAATGAGACTCAGGATGTCCTCGCGCGGTCGTATCACTACGTTTGATGTGTCCACGAACACGACGTGATCGCCTGGTCGGAGACCAGCGCGTTCTGCTGGACTTCCTGGGTCCACCCTTTCCACTCGAGGGGGACGACCCCAGGAGAGAGAGAAACCCCATGGCACCTGGGGTAATCGATTTATTTATTAGGTAAATTGAGGTTTCACGGAGATTGAAAAAACAAAACAATTGCATAATCTTATAATTGATTGTTGGGGAATATCATTACGGAATTTTAATTTATTAATGAATAATGATGAGAGATAATGATTTAGTGATTGATTGTGAATAGATTATGAAAGTTAATTGCATTCAGTGGTTTGGGGATTTATTTAAAATTTTTATTGCAATAATTATTAAAATTACGAAATTAAAATGTAGCAGATATTTTTATCAATAGTAAATTTAAAAAGTTATTTCCTTTCTTAAAAATGAATTTTCATGAAGCCCGCCCAACAAACGAATCATCATTGGTCCAAATTATTTAGGTCAGAGGAAAATAGAATAATTCTACTTTCTTAATATTGCGTTTACTAAGGTTTTCTTCGAACAAAGTTGATTAGAATTAATAGCTAGAATTATGAGATTATCTCACATTTTTAATGTTAAGGATAGGTCAATCTGAATGCAATATAGTGAAAATAATGATCGATTTTTTCACTTTGAACAAATAATATTAATATCCAAATACTAAATTTCTGATATGAGTAAAAAGAAGCTGTGACTCAATATTTCAAATGAAGTTTTAATTTTTAATTTAATGCTGAAAACACGAGATGACAATATTCTAAGCACGGAATTATATTGATGAAATGAACAACAGATTAAATGAATTACCGTGTGAACCAACTAAAAATTGGTAACAGTGCGGCCACGCACTTTTACCAGAATATCAACAAATATTGAATTCCAGAAATTCTCACTCTAAAGTGTGTTCTGGAAGGAATTGAATTGCCATTATGATTCAAATCTTATTCAGTGAGGATAGGAATTAGAACATGAGCAAATAATTTATTGTAATATAAAAATTTAACAGTCGATTAATTGGGACATATGATTCTCATCAGTCGTATTGCTTTTTGCAATGAGAATGATTATAAACAATTAATTGAAAAAAGGGCATCAACACTTTCTAATACTTAAAAAAGATCTATTCATTTACAAAATAACTTTGAAAAACCATTGCAAATTATTTTGAAAAAAATTTCTAAAGCGAAGAAAAATACATAAATTCATCAAAATAATTTGTTTTCTCAATTCCATTTTCAGTATTAAGTACCTGATGTGGACCACTCTGTCGTACAAGCCTTCTCGTAATAGTACAGGGTGTCCTGCCACCCTTAGCTGTAAATCCAGGATGCAGCGGTAAACCAGTTGTCGGATCTATTGGCTCCAATTCCAGATGCCTGAGGTAAGTGAGATCATCTGCATTTGTATTGTTGTTGTCCACATGATCCCCGTCCTTTGACAGTGGCGGTGATACCGCACACTCCTGTGGTATACTCGAGTAAGGTGTACTCGTATTTCGACCAGAGCCCACTTCCAGAGGGTGCCATGTCGCTTCCTGAAAACACATTTTTTTTACGATACCAACTAAACTCGAGAGTCATTGCTGCCCAAACTTTATCTCTCTACATATATTATAAAAATCCAAATCGACTTCTGGTGATAAAAAATTTGGTATTCGAAATTAAGACCTCGAAATTGAGGGTCTCAAGGGTCAAAATAAGGGTCGTGTGGGTCGAAATAAGGGTCAAGAGGGTTTGATTAAGGGTCACAAGAGTCAGATTAAGGGTCTCGAGGGTGAAATTAAAGATGACGAGTTTAAGGATCACAAGGATCAGATTAAGTGTCCAAATAAGGGTAATAAGGGTCATTAGGGTCAAAATCAGAGTCACGAGGGTCAGAATAAGGATCACAAGGGTTTGATTTAGGGTCACAAAGATCAGATTAAAGGTTTTGAGAGTCAGATTAAAGGTCACAAGGGTCAGAATTAAGGTTATGATGGTCACAATAAGAGTCACGAGCATCAGAATAAGGGTCATGAGATTTGATTAAGGGTCGCAAGGGTCAAATTAAGGGTCTCAAGGGTGAGATTAAAGGTGACGAGTTTATGGGTCACAAGGATCAGATTAAGGGTCCAAATAAGGGTAACAAAGGTCTGATTTAGGGTCTAAACAAGGGTCATTAGGGTCAAAATCAGGGTCACGAGGGTCAGAATAAGGAACACAAGGGTTTGATTAAGGGTCACGACGGTCAGATTAATGGTCTCGAGGGTCACATAAATGGTCACAAGTTTAAGGGTCACAAGGGTCAGATGAAGGGTCTAAACAAGGGTCAGATTAGAGGTCACAAGGGCCAGATTAAGGGTCAGAATTAGGGTTATGATGATCACAATAAGGGTCACGAGGATAAGAATAAGGGTCATGAGGTTTGATTAAGGGTCGCAAGGGTCACATTAAGGATCCTGAGAGTCAGAACAAGGGTCACGAGGATCAGATTAAGGGTCCAAATAAAGGTCGAATAAAGGGGTCAGAAACTAAAGGTCACAAGGGTCAGAATAAGCATCATGGAAATCATACGGGCGTCATATGGGGGCTGGTGAGTGGAGCGAGCAGGGGGTGTAGCTCCCTAGTACATCTATAAAATAATGTACATCAAACTTTTTAGATACTAGATTTTAAGGAATGCATATACTGCAAATAATGATGATTTTTTCAAAATAAAAACCTGGTGGAGCAAAAAAAAACACATTTATCGAATGAGGGGAAAAAGTCACACCGAAAAACGCATGAAATTTTATCGTTCACTCATCGATTTTCGGGGGAAATAAAAATATCTGTGGGTTATTGGAGCGAGAGGAGGAGATGGTACACACTGAATTGATCATGCTGCTCTGGATTCCGCCCTTCCTTACGAATTCATGGGTTTTCTACTTCTCTAGACGAGTTTTTACGACTTGACTGAAATAACTTCTCTGTTATTTTTGGGGATATGTCCGGATCAAGTGGTTTTAGGGGAAAATGTAATAAAGGATTTTTTGGAGCTGACGAAATTTCCCACAAAAATTTGTTATGCCATTCTTCTCTCAGACACCTCTTTCTTGAGATAATTCCCTAATTAATCCATTCATTATTCCGTTCTCTCTAATAAACTCAATCAGTCACATTTTCCACCTCCACAAATTAATATTTTCCCAATGAAAAAAAAATTCACTTCAATCCTGCGAAACTCACCCCCCACCTCCTGAACACAGCGAATATCTTCAGCAACAATTAAATTCCTCACGTAATGCACGAATTAATATCCGAAAACACCAAAAATCGAAACCAAACAAGAAATGTGTTCATAAGTCCTCAAATATCTCTTTAACAATCAATTCTATCAAAAAATGTCATAAGATCTTTTTGGTAGCTTATAAAATTTCCCACAAAAATGTATTTTGCCATTTTTCTCTCAGACGATTTCCCCCTGAGATAATTCCCTAATTAACACACTCATTATTTCATTCTCTCCAATCAACTCAATTAATCACATTTTCCACCTCCACAAATTAATATTTTCCCAATGAAAAAAAAAATTCACTTCAATCCTGCGAAACTCACCCCCCACCTCCTGAACACAGCGAATATCTTCAGCAACAATTAAATTCCTCACGTAATGCACGAATTAATATCCGAAAACACCAAAAATCGAAACCAAACAAGAAATGTGTTCATAACTCCTCAAATATCTCTTTAACAATCAATTCTATCAAAAAATGTCATAAGATCTTTTTGGTAGCTTATAAAATTTCCCACAAAAATGTGTTTTGCCATTTTTCTCTCAGACGATTTCCCCCTGAGATAATTCCCTAATTAACACACTCATTATTTCATTCTCTCCAATCAACTCAATCACATTTTCCACCTCCACAAATTAGTATTTTCCCAATGAAAAAAAAAATTCACTTCAATCCCGCGAAACTCACTCACCCCCTCAGTACATTGCGAAAATCTTCAGCAACACCCCTGCAACGATGAACGCAGCACAGTAGATCGCGACGACAATCATGTTGGCACTTCTCCCTATTTCTCTATTTCTCCCTTGATTTATCGCCCCCGAAACTCTCCCCCAAACTTTTGCACACACAAACACCAGTTTACAAAGATCCACTTTTATCGGAATCCGGGGTAGACTAGAATTTTATTTGTCGTCCCCACACAAATAAAATTCAATCCCCTTTTCTTCGTATTTATGAAATTCACTCGGACAGGACAAATAATATGTAATGGGAGCTAGGACTTCCGTACTGCACACGACGTTGACGTGTGAGCGTGTGAGGAGAGAAGGGGTAAAAATCCAGCGCCCGCGGTGACCCGATAATCGACTTAACCCTGACCCCAGACGATGGGATAAGGGAGGGGAATCGGAGGGATGCGGAGGATACAGATGTAATTAGGTACTTGATCTTGAGGGATTCATCGCATTTTCTATTACAAAATGAATAAAATTCTATGAATGAATAAATTGAAAGGAAAAAGCAAACAATGAAGAGAAACGCATTAGAATAAAATTAAAATAAACAATTTTAATTTAATGAATTAAATTGGTTAATGAATAATGATTTAACATTTCATAAATTAATTAACTTTAAAATTGATGAATTAATCAAAATGAATTATTGGTCCCATTTATTTATTCTATTTTCTATTGCTTAATAAATAAATTCTCATGGATGAATAAATTTAAAGAAGAAAATAGAATTTAAATAGAATTTAAAGAAGAAAATAGAAAATGGACAGAAACAAATCAAATTAAAATAAAAATAAATTGCTATTTAATGAATTAAATTTTTTCATGAATAATGATGCAACGTTTCATAAATTCATTAACTTTAAAATTGATGAATTAATCAAAATGAATTATTGGTCCCATTTATTTATTCTATTTTCTATTGCTTATTAAATAAATTCTTATGGATGAATAAATTTAAAGAAGAAAATAGAAAATGGACAGAAACAAATCAAATTAAAATTAAAATAAATTGCAATTTAATGAATTAAATTTTTTAATGAATAATGATGCAACGTTTCATAAATGAATTAAATTTGTTGGTGAATAATAATTTAACATTTCATATATTAATGAATTTCAAAATGGGCTCATGCAGTGGGGAATAACTCAAAATAAATGAATACTCAAGAATTAATAAATAAATTAATAAAAAAACATAGAGAATGAAAATTAACAAAACAAAATGAAATCGAGATAAACTGCAATTTCATCAACTGCATTAATTAAATTTAATTATTAATAATAATGAAAAATTTAACCAACTAATGGTCTTCACAATCACCTGACGCAGTTGTTGAATAAATAAGAATTAATTATTGCAATTCCACATTCAAAACAAATAAACTGCATTCAATTTTGTATAAAAAAAAAGAATTTCTTTTTTGAAAATTTTTCGTTTTTTCTAATTTCTCTATTATTTCATCTTAAGATTCATCCCATGTTGTATTACAAGCTGAATAAATCCCCATAAACTAACGAATTAATAGAAAAACAGAGAATGAGAACAAACAAAATTAAATTGAAATAAGCTGCAATTTCATCAATTGAATTAATTAAATTTAATGATTAATAACATTGAAAAATTTCATTAAATAATGAACTTTAAAATTATCTCACGCAATTGTTGAATAAATTAAAATAAATTTCTACAATTTACCATTCAAAACAAATCGATTCCGAAAAAAAAATTCAATCACTTCAATTTACCCATTTTTTTGTTTTCCCTGATTCATTCTTTACATTGATAAAAAAACGGATTAAAGTTTATTTTTCTCACCTTATCCTGTGCCAAGGGGAGGGGTAGAGTCATGCAGCCCAGCAGCTCGCTGCGCCTGGAGGAAAAATACAAAAAAATGTTATTCAATTTTCATTTTATTCTCTTCAGAGTCCGAAATTTATCTCTTCGTTTTGTTCAGTTCGTTAGGAAATAAATACAGATAGGAATGGCTGATAAGAATCCCACCCCGTGGATTTGTAAAGAACCTCTTCTAGATGTGACCCTAGGCTTTGTCGTTTTTTGTTCGCACGTGGCTAGTGCCATGCGCATGTACCAGAGAGCAATCGATTTCCCCTCCGCTGTGGTTCAACCTGGGATGTAAGGACTGTAGAGGGATATTCCCCAGATCCACGCTTCGTGGAACACACGTGAATCGAATGACATGAAAAGGGGTTTACATGTATTTTTATCTCTCTTTTGGGGAGAGATCAAAGGGGAGAATCGATGATCAACACGGCTGGAAGAATCCTTTTGGGAGGCGCTTTTTTTGGGTCAGCTATTGGCGGGGGACTTCAGGATGAGTAATTTCTTGACATTTCGAGATTGAGATTCTTATCGTGAGGAATTCGTTTTTAATTGGGGGAAATGTCGGATCAATTGAGTGAACTAGTGATTTTTTATGTTTTGTCTTCATTGAAATGAAAAATATCTACTCGACGAGTGGTTTTAAGGGAAAAATTGAGAGAATATTTTTTGCGGAGAATTTTCTCAGTTGAAAAAACGATCTTTTGATATTTTCTTCTGTCTCTAATGGTTTGCGAAATTTTTCGGAAATTGTTTAGTAGTTAAAATGACTTCATTTCCAACTAGGGGAAATGTATGCTTTGGGTGAACGGATTTTTTATTACATTTCTACGCGATGTGTACCACTCAATTGACAATTTTGGATTACGAAAGATTTTAAAAAATCAGATAACATTCGAAAGATAGTACATCCGGGCCTTAAATTGGGGGAAATGTGTCAACTGGATAAACTAGTGATTTTTCACGTTTTGTCTTCCCCATCAAAAAATATATAAAAATATATATAGTATGGGCCAATTCCATAGATTTTTCAAATTTATAAAGAATATATTTAAAAAATGTATAAAATATGTTTTCTATATTTTTTATATAAATTGGGCCAATTTAAGATATTTTTTTATATATTTTTCAAAATATACATTTTCCTATGTGGATTGTTTGAAAGGGAAATTGTCTACTTGATGAGTGGTTTAAATATTTCCAATTCCTTATTTATAAACACGAGGTGTGTAGAGACGTATTTTCCCCCCCGAAATGTCATCTAAAAGACACTGACCTCTGAATTTTTTCAATTTTTCTGACGCAATTCAATCAAAAAAATTCCCGCTTGGAAATTTTTTATTCCATTTTTGGATCTTCAAAGTTTTTCATTAAAGTTCATTACATTTCATTTCAATTCAATTAATTTCTTTTCAAACATTTTAGTTTAATATTTGATAAAATCTCAATCATGAAATAATATATACCTACACTATCCAATTATTCGATGAAAGTGAAGTCTTTATTTAAATAATCAGTGGAAGTAAATTTTCCAAAAGATGGAAAATCAACAAACTTTTGAACGCTATGAGAATAATTTACGAAAATCCTTTATAAATCGATTGGAAGAATGATGCTATCTATATTATGGAATGAATTTGCAACATCATATTTGAAGAAACCATCAGAAAGTTCACTTTCCGAGCAATTTAAGAGAAATTATAATATATATAATTTCCAAAAATCATCATAAAAATCAAACCAACAAATACAGGTATCGTAACGGTCTTTTAATTTCGACAGAGTGGCTTTGAAACTTATATTTTCAGCCATCATTGAATGAATTTAGAGCACGATATCCAAAGCCACCCTCGGAATAGCAATTTTTATAAAATACAAAATTTTTGAAAATTATTCTAAAAATCAAAACAACGATTACAGCTATCGCCTTCATCTTCGAGCTCGGTCGCAGAGACATCCAAATAATTTTTTAAGCCATTATTCGATGAATTAAGAACATTTTTTTAGTTATAGTGGGACAACCGATTTTTATTAAAATTCCAAAATTCAAAAATACAATATATGACTGAAATTTTAATTCATGTCGATGGATAGGGCTCGACAAAACCTGCATTTGAAAAAAAAAGATTCAATTCCATCGATTTATCAAACATCCATACGGACAGGGTTTAAAATGGCATTCCGATCTCTTTGGAAGCAAAAATAGCCAAAGTATGATACCTCAAACACGATTAAATTTCCATATTTACCTAGCTCTTCGATCCCTGTGCCAAACGGCGATATCAAGGGACGTGGCCCTTGTCGTGCAGTTGTTATTACTCGGACAAGGCAGTATCAATGTCTCATGAAAAACAGGATTTGGGGTTGCACGGTGAACAGCTGTGCGTTTAACAACACCCTCACCGCAGTGATTCTTGATGCTTGCCTTCACGTATGCATGAATCGGCCCCTCATACGCTCGTCTCAAGTCTCTGCAGCGAATCACTAAAACCAGAATCCATTTGCCTCAATTCATCCTCTTTAAAGTGCAATAAAATTATTTCATCCTGTTCTTATTATTTATTTAATGGCTTCTTGAAGCCAAGTGGAGGAATAAGTGGAGGCTCGAGGAAATTGGAAGGGTAATTACATAATTATAGTCGGGGGGGTTGTGCCTCGTTAAGTGGGGGAGGGAATTTTACGTTTCGTGACTTGACGTATCACCACGAGAGTTTAATTCACCAGCACTTAATTTTCGTCACTCGTCACATTGGAGAAGAGAGAAGTTGAAAGTTGGAACTTCGAAATGACTGATGGAATTTTACGATTTTGAAGCGTTGGATTTTTCTGGCGATTTTTGAGGGCCAAATTTTGGGAAGAATTTTTGGTGTTTTTAGGTGAGACTGACCGTAGTGCTGGGGGCAACGAGGACTGTGGGTTACTGGCACACGGTACCGTGGTAGTCAGTATCAACCCCTCTTTTGTCATCCTCTAGGTTGGATAAACGAGAGAGAGGGCTTTAACGCGATTGCGCGATGATGGTTCACTGGGGGGTGGATTTCTACCGCGCTGTCACTACTAGATTTTCAGCTGTTGTCATCGAAATATTTTTCGTGCCCCCGTTTGGCGTGACGTGCAGTCACGGAATGGGTCAGGAAATTTGCATGAGCACTGTTATGTTCAGGAGAGAGACGATAGGAATTGACGAAGATGTTAATTTTGTTAATTTCGGTAATATCTTAATAACTAGTGATTTCAGGTGAAAATGTCATGGATACAAAACGTGGAGAATTTCGTCAGCTATAAAAAAGGTTTTTTAATGTTTTGAACTTGAACCGCTCATTCTTGAGATATTTGCAAAGAAAGAAAGCTTATTTCGATAGACTTGGACTTTCGAGAGATTCTGTTTCCTTAAAAATTTCTCGAGTACGATGAGTTCTAGGAAAAAATATCAGAAGACATTTTTTGTAGCTGACAAAATTCGCAGCAAATCACGTCCTTAGACATTTTTCTCTAAAACCAATCATTTCCGAGATATTCCAGTGCCATTTCGGTCCAATAGTTTCTAAGATCCAACTCAACACCTTTTTGTCTACCAAAATTCGCTTTTGGAGTTTCTCCATAACGACTGGGGTAAAAGGAGCCATTTAATATTCAACTCCGCCCCAGATTCACCTATCCCTCAAATGGGATCAGTCCAATCATTCGATTTATTCATCATCTGGCCTAAAAACTACTGTTCTTCAGTCTTCAACACATGTCAAAATCCAAAAATACTGACCTCTGACATGAATATAATCTCCAATAACATTGTACTCGATTTCAATGGACCCCCTAGAATGCCCCCTCGGTGTTCCAACATCAGGACTGTACTTCAGACACCTCCTGACCGTAGCAATGAGCGGCGCCTCGGGCGTTTCCGTCACCGAATGGAGAAGCGAACTCTTTGAGCTTGGAAAGTCATCCATCAGTGACGATTTGGGGCTCTCCAGTTCCCACAGGTTTTTTCCCGTCTCGTCCTTGCTATGGCTGAAGGATGTCTTGCAGACTGTCCGCTCGCCAAAGGTAGAATCCAAATCCGTCTCAAGAGCAAGCCTTTTGACGTGAAGGTTGACAGCTTGCATCGGCTCCTGCAGCTCTAGAATCTTTCGTTTGGTGCCTGGACTGATGCTGTCTTGTCGTTTCGTCCTCTTCGAGGCAGATGTCTTGTCGTTCCCCTGGTCCTTTCGTTTCCTCCTGATGCCCCGTTGCCTCCTCAACTTGAACTCGCCGTCTGAATCGTTGGACGGCGAGCGAAACGCCCAAGACATCGGCGACGGGTCTTCTAGGAGCTGACTAGCCGACGAGACGGAACTGTCATTGTGAGGAGCCTTCTCCTCACCCCCCTCGTCCATTATCGACGCGTAGACGTGCCCCGGACTTCTGGGACTCTTCTTATCGGACACTTCCAGGACCTTTCGACGCTCTTCTGAGTCCCGCAGAAGGATCTCCGCAACAGTCTTTGGGTTGTTCTCTTGCTGATTCGTCAGCACTTCCGTCACTGTGTTGTCCATATTCTCGAATTTGTCTTGGTCTATCTTCAGGTGAGCTAGCTGCCCTGATAAAGGTGTCTCCTTGACGGTGAAGGGGCTCCGCTGGGCCTTCGTGTGGTAGGGGGTTTTCAGTCTGGTGTGAAGCTTTGTTATCTTCGCTAGCTTTGGATGACACGAGCTCTCTGGATTGCGGGAGAATAATCTTGACTTTGTGAGGAAGGGGACTTTGTTAGCTTCCATAACGTCCTCCGGACTTCCGGCGACGGAGATCTGCTGGAAGAAGTCGGAGACGTGGGACTGGAGGTTCGCTCGCGCCTCGTTCATGACGTTCTGTGGGAGTTCGTTGTTATTGGCGAAGGACTTTTGGTAGGCCACTGGGAGGATTGAGGGGTCAGTGGGGAGGGTCGAGATGTTCTGGGGCTTTGAGACGCTCTCGGGGATGATGGTGAGGGGACCTATGTCCGTGTCCACGCGGGGGGTACTTTGGTAGAAGCTTTCGGTTCGCGGCGAGTCCGCCGGGTCTTCCGATATTGATTGGCGTTTTGAGGAGCGGAGGTTTGGCTTTGTTGCCTGCAATGAGAATTCATCAGGAATGGGTTTCAGTAGGTGTTCAATAGCGATGTGGCAGGATTGGTGAAATTTGTCTAGAAAAGTTTTCTGACTTCGACGATATCTCGATAGTTAGTGGTTTTAGAGAAAAATGTCATAGACATAAAATGTTGGAAATTTCGTTGGTTACAAAAAAGGTCTGACGATGGTTTCAGCTAGAACCAATTGTTTTCGAGTTATTCGTAAACAAATACACCTGTTTCGTTTGACCTGCCTCTTTCCCAGGTTTTCTTTTTTTTGAAAATATCTCCGGAACCATTGCTCCTAGGAGGAAACATCGTAGAACCTTTTCTGTAGCTGACTAAATTTCCGACAAATCATGTGATTAGATATTTATCTCGAAAATCAATAATTACCGAGATATTTCACATCCCAATAACACTAATAAATTACTCACATTGAAATAAGCTCTCAAATCACTCCCATGACTCCTACACCGTCTCCTCCTTCCATTAGCAAGTCTACTTACACTGCTCTCAGTCCCATCATCCTGTACCCCAGCCACTCTGGATCTAGAGCTACCCGTTGGCGGTGTATTCGATAGATCCCTAAACGGTCTGCGCGTCGATTTGTCCATGGCCGCTGAAGTTCCATGTGGCGTTGAGCTTGTGGTCGACAGCGATCTGGATACCGTCCACTTCAGCATCTCTGTAACCAACAAAACCACCCCAATAAGTTTAAGCCATTGACATCAGATTACCGAAACCGGAAACAACTGGAGTTTCACCTGTTCGAGATTTGGATAATTGAAAGCCCCTTCAATTCGACAAGTTGGAGATCAGCAGATGTTGGGGATCATCTGGAAGACGCCTTCGACGCTTAGCCCGACAGCTTTAAGCAATATCACGCAGAAAAATGATTTCGTTAGCCTAGCAAATACTCGCTCGCTGCGATCTGATTTGCTAAGATAATTGAAAATTTGTAACTGGTACCTGAGCCTCCGCTACGCGAGCCACTGACCATTTGTCCGGCCAACCCCCATTGAAAGGTTGAAATTGATTTGTTATCCCTGTGAATCATACGCTAAAACCACCGAAGTCGTTTCGTTGGTGCAATATTCCTAGATTGGTTGACCTTTGATTTGCTATTACAACCAAACATTTGTTGTTTGAATCTGAACATTTATTCATAAATTCAAGAATGAAGCATCCTATCTTCTAATAAGAAACGGAAAATTTCGCCGCATGACCTCCCCTAGTGGAAAAACATAAGGTGGAGGCGTAACATGCCTGATCAGAATTTTGGATCGAACTTGATCAGTTTCTGATCGAGACCTGAACAGAATTTCCACTCGGGTAGTCGCTAGCGCGTTAGGGTTAGTAATCCCAAGGTCCTGCGTTCGATCCCCGGCCCCGGCAAATGAACATAATTTGTGTTAATGAAATTGGCGTTTTCGGTGATGAATGCATTCTGAGTTTCTTCCACAGGGATTGACCATGAAAATGAGGAAAAAAAATTAATCAATTTTTTTCGTATTTTTACTGATAATTAACATAGCAAATCATTTGTTAATCTAACTAAACATGTTCCTTAAATGAGCAAATCAATTGTTAAAGTAGCAAATCGGTAAGATAACTATCTTACCCCAGCATAACCCTCTTGCGATTCTAACATATCAGACCCGAGCAGAGGATATCCGCGCGGTAACGCACACCTTGGCTGTCTGTATATTAACGGAATTATTTTTTCATCACGCTGTGACGAAAAGTGAACTTTTCGGCACACTCCGCGTGCCTAAAAGTCCAATTTCCGCTAAGAATTTTGGATCGAACTTGCTGTGACGACGTGAAAAAATGTTTTTTAGCTCGTGGGAACATATCACTCGCCTTCGGCTCGTGATATAAACCTCCCACTCGCCAAAAAACACTTTTTTGCACTCGTTACGAAATATACTATTCTGTGCGCCCACAACATCCCATCTCAAACGTCAACACAATCCGAAAACTAAGGAACCATTTAATTGACAGAATTCGTACCCAAAGCCTTCAAAACAGTATCTCACGGAGGCTAGACCTCCCGACAATGGTAACGAACACCTGTCGTAGCATACGGGAAACAGCAAAACAGGTGAAAGCCAGATAAACAGAAATACCTCAAACACATGTGTACACCTGAGGCCACGTTATTTTTTCCCTCAAACCTCAAGGCTTTTACGATCCCTCTGTCTTCGCATTTGGGGTATAATGGCTCTGTTAAAAGGCTTTTCTCACAACAACCATGTTGTGGCACTGTAACGTGAAAATTATTGAGGATATGGAAATTGGGACAATGGAGTACCTGTTCCCGGAAAAGACCTGCTGTGAACATTTGCGTTAACAATAAAAACTGAAATAATTCCTCATCATTTGTGAGAATTTTCAGTCATACATCTGTCATTTCCATTATTTTCCAAATAATAGTTTCAATGCATTTTTTCATGTCTCGTAACAACCCTTCCTTTTGTCATTATTCATTAATGCCTGAACAAATTGCAGACGCGTTTGTCCGCAATTCATGAATTATTCAATTCTCATGACCTTGCGGTGTGAAAGGGCTGTAAAAAATAATCATACTCATGCACATGATCATCACCAATTAATGTTAAACCCCAATTACCCCATTATCAACCAATTGATCAGCCCCATTGTTGCAAATTATCCTGCCAACTTCCATTATCAAAAAAATTGAAGAAATCCGCTGATAAAAATCAGCTGGTCAAGTGCAGTTGACGCCTTGTACCCCGAAATTATACCTTTCACCCTAAAAATTCTCATGACTATTTTGCCCCCTGCCCCCCTCGCCCCTCGTGGAATTGCATTCCCATGCGAAAAAACCCCGGGGACCTTAAAAAAGAGAGGCCAGCAGGTTTTAACTTTTAACGGTTCCTCTCGAAGGGGGGTGCACACTGCGTCAGAAAGAGAACGCTGTGCCTTATTGTTCCTTAAAAATTGGAGTGGGGGACAGTAGTAGGGGGTTAGAATGCGCAAAAATCCATTCATTTGCATAGTAGCTGCCATTGGCGCACGCGCGATCGCCCCCCCCCTCTTTTCTTCAATTTTTTTTCGACTGTACAAGTGTGTTGGAGAGGTTATGACACACAAATGACGGAAAGTTGCCCGTTTACGGTCGTTTACACGAGTGCATATGGGTGTGTATCGATTTCACTGGTGGATATGGAGGTGTGTGAGTGGTGGAGCGACACATGGATTGTGAAAAAAGGGGTCTGGAAGAGTTTTGTGGAGTGTGTAGGCCGGGGCACCTGCCCATATGGCCTTCTAATTTTTGCGGTGCGCGCCATCTGGCTGCGCGCGCCGATGTTGAGGGAAATGAGAAAAGCCGGGATGAGGACTTCTGGCGTTTCTCGGTTTATCTTGATTATTCGTATCTTTGGGGGGGAAACGCCTTCAACTTCCGTCGGAAGTACTCTTAGTTTTTTGGGCTCGGGGGACGCAGCGCGTGCTGCAGCTCCCGATGCGGAACAATGATCCTGCGGAGACATTAGGTTATCGCGGGAAATTATCGGTTTCATTGTCATTTTAGGGTTTTAATTATTAGGTTTCTTGGCGGGGGATCAAGGCGGAGGGGTTGGATTGCTCAGAGGGTTGGGTTTGGTGTTGAGGGGGGAGACTTGGAAAATGCTTACGTCATTAATCTCTCGTAGAAGACCCCCCTTTTTCGCCCCATGTGGCGCTGTTATCGCGGTTGGAATGAGACGATAGCGTACGGACAATTGGCGACAGGTTGTCTTGAGACGAATGGTCATTCGTAGGGTACGATATTCTTGAATGAAGATTATTTCTTTCGGGGGGGTTGTCTTCTCGTTCTGTTCTGCTCCTCAAGAGCATCTCTCAAAGTGCCGAGAGGACTTCTGCGTATCTCGGTTCATCTTAATTATTCGTATCTTTGGGGGGGAAACGCCTTCAACTTCCGTCGGAAGTACTCTTAGTTTTTTGGGCTCGGGGAACGCAGCGCGTGCCGCAGCTCCCGACGCGGAGCAATGATCCTGCGGAGACCTTAGGTTATCGCGGGAAATTATCGGTTTCGTTGTCAATTTAGAGTTTTAATTATTAGGTTTCTTGGCGGGGGATCAAGGCGGAGGGGTTGGATTGCTCAGAGGGTTGGGTTTGGTGTTGAGGGGGGAGACTTGGAAAATGCTTACGTCATTAATCTCTCGTAGAAGACCCCCCTTTTTCGCCCCATGTGGCGCTGTTATCGCGGTTGGAATGAGACGATAGCGTACGGACAATTGGCGACAGGTTGTCTTAAGGTAAATAGTCACTCGTAGGGCACGACATTCCCAAATAAAAATTATTCCCTCCGGGGGGCTGCCTTCTTGGTCTGTTCTCAAGTGCAACTTTATGGATATTGTACCTTAATAGCAACAATTTGCATAATTGCGACGATGAATCGCGTCACGAGTGAACGGACCCCCGGGGGGCTCGGACATACCCCCGGGGGCATCACACCGTGGGGGAACACCTGTGTTCACGCGTACATTTTCTCCTGCATTTTTGATAGGTCTTTTGTTTTGGGTTAACATGCGATCGTTATCGCGGGTTTGTCTAACGGTCATGGTTATATGTGTCTCTGCAGTATTTTTTGTGAACTAACATTCGACATTTGGGGGTAATTAAAATAATGGGGGGGGGGAGGATAGGGTGAAAGATCGTTGGGAAAAATCGGTTGGAAGTTCTCGCGACAGAAGTTTGGGATGGAATAATTTGGGCGGAAGAATAAGATATTCTGGTTTTGAAGTGCGACAACTGTTATGAATTCATTGCGTGAGAATTTTTCCAAATATTTTGGCTTCATTAACAGTTATAAACAAATTAGAATTTTGTGTAATTTCTGGGAATATTTTTTTATTGCTACGAAATGGATTTTAGATGAAATTTTGATTTTGAAAATTCGTTCCCAAGGTGAAAATTCCTTCTTTCAATCAATTGTTGTTCAAAGTGGAAAAATCGATCATCATTTTCACTATATTGCATTCAGACTCTCCTGTCCTTAATGTCAACAATGTGAGATAATCTCATAATTCTAGCTATTAATTCTAATCAACTTTGTTCGAAGAAAACCTTAGTTAACGCAATATTAAGAAAGTAGAATTATTCTATTTTCCTTTGACCTAAATGATTTGGACAGTTATGATTCGTTTATTCATGTTTCATAGAATGGTATTCAATTCTCTTTTGTTTGTTAGGCGGGCTTCATGAAAATTCGACGCGAGACGATTATGCTCATGAAAACCGCCTCACTTTCTCCACTCGTTCGAGATATCCGCCAAGTTCGAGCTCTCATTTTCGATTCGAGATATTGCATGCATTTTTTACGAACGATAACATCAATGAAAAATTGGAAAGAAGTGTTTCCGGAAAAAAATGTATTCTCAAATAAGAAAAGTTGTTGCAATGTTTCTCACTCCACCGCCAGTATCACTTACCAGCGAAAAACGTTGCCACAACCCATCAAAAAATTCCCCCAAAATCTCCGAAAAAACTTATATCTCGAGTGTAGCTGATTTAGTTCCCATTGTCATTCGATACGTATATCATATTTTTCCCTCACACACATACCACCACTCACAGTAGACCCAAAACAGGTAAATATGTATAACAGCGACAGGTTTTCAGCGAGACACATTCACATCGACAAAACCGTAGAGAGAA